GATCGCGAGGGTGAAAACCGGCAGCGATCACCGAATGGTTAGAGGCACACTGAACCTAAACGTTAAGTTGGAGAGGTCTCGTCTAATGAAGTCAACGCTCCGTCCCCCTCGTGCTCTAATCCAAAGTCCCGAAACCTTTCAGCTCGAGTTGCAAAACCGTTTTCAGTGCCTAGAAGACTGCAATGAAGTGGACGATTTGAATGACAAGCTCGTGGAAACTGTCCATGCGGTCGGAGCTAAGTTCTGCAAGACCCGCCGCAAAAGAACACAAAAACTCTCCGATCACACTCTTAATCTCATGGCTGTTAGACGGGAGATGAAGCTACATTCTTCAACAGATTTGACAGCATACAGGCAACTGAACTGTGCCGTGTAGTGGCGGTTAAGAATATCCACTACCCCATATCTTCCCGTGGGTGTCGTAAAAGGCGACAAAGGGAAACAGGCAGGAGATGGGCAGCAGCATCTTCCTGGTAACGGCAAAAATACAATAAAAAACTGCGGTTGCCAACCCGCTCGCCAAGCGTGGCAACTATGGCAATATACCCCCCATAATGAAAGTTACGAAGAGACGGCCCCCAGTCCCCGGCGGCCCCGCTATTCCTGGCTACGGTGGCGACCATGGTAACGGCGGGGCAGGGGGTGCTAAGAATCTCCGGTGGAGGTTCGGTTGCCACCTACAACGACTCGACCTGGCAACATACAACGCACGCACCCTGAGGACTGACGAGAAGATTGTGGAGCTGGAAGAAGAGATAGACAAGTTACGCTGGCATATTATAGGATTATCCGAAGTCCGAAGAGAGGGGGAGGACACGGTAATCCTCGAATCCGGCAACTTGCTCTATTACCGGGAGGGCGACCATCTGTCCCAAGGAGGTGTCGGATTTATCATCCACAAGTCTCTCGTTAACAACGTTGTAAAGATTGAGAGTGTGTCGACGAGGGTTGCGTACCTTATACTCAGAATCAACAAACGGTATTCGCTGAAGGTCATACAGGTTTACGCACCAACCTCGGCACACCCTGATCAAGAGGTGGAGGAAATGTATGAGGATATCTCTAGAGCCATGCATTCCTCCAAAACCCAATATACGGTGTTAATGGGAGACTTCAATGCAAAACTAGGCACAAGAGAGAACGGTGAGCTGAAAGTGGGGAAATTTGGAATAGGGCAACGGAACCCAAGGGGCCAGCAGTTGGCCGACTTCATGGAGAAAGAGGGACTCTTTGTGATGAACTCTTTCTTCCAGAAGCGGCCCCACAGGAAGTGGACCTGGTCGAGCCCCGACGGTTCGACAAAAAATGAGATTGACTTCATTATGACGACCAGACGACAACTGTTCAGTGATGTCTCAGTGATCGCGAGGGTGAAAACCGGCAGCGATCACCGAATGGTTAGAGGCACACTGAACCTAAACGTTAAGTTGGAGAGGTCTCGTCTAATGAAGTCAACGCTCCGTCCCCCTCGTGCTCTAATCCAAAGTCCCGAAACCTTTCAGCTCGAGTTGCAAAACCGTTTTCAGTGCCTAGAAGACTGCAATGAAGTGGACGATTTGAATGACAAGCTCGTGGAAACTGTCCATGCGGTCGGAGCTAAGTTCTGCAAGACCCGCCGCAGAAGAACACAAAAACTCTCCGATCACACTCTTAATCTCATGGCTGTTAGACGGGAGATGAAGCTACATTCTTTAACAGATTTGACAGCATACAGGCAACTGAATAGACAGATTTCCAAATGCATGCGGCGGGACTTATGCAACTTCAATACAGCTCGTATTCAAGAAGCGATCGAGCGGAACCAAGGCTCCAAAGTCTTTGCCAGAGATCTGTCTGCCAGAAAGAGACAACTGTCAAAGCTGAAGACCGAATGTGGCAGCATCGTTTCCGGGGCACCTGAGATTTTGAGTGAGATTGAGAGGTTCTATGGGCAGCTGTACACATCATCGTTGGAGCCACACGCAAGTGTGAGTAACGATCCAAGAGCGAGTCTTATCCGACATTATTCCGATGATTTCCCGGACGTCAGTCTGAGCGAGATTAGAATGGCTCTCCAGCACCTTAAAAACGACAAGGCCCCAGGCCAGGATGGAATTACAGCGGAGCTTCTGAAAGCGGGTGGAAAACCGGTACTTGAAGTCCTTCAGAAGCTCTTTAATTCCGTCCTCCATGGTGGTATTACACCGGAGGCGTGGAGCAGAAGTGCGTTGGTCTTGTTCTTCAAGAAAGGCGACAACGCTCTCTTGAAGAACTACAGACCGATTTCCCTTCTGAGCCGCGTCTACGTGCTGTTTTCGAGAGTCATTACGAATCGTCTCGCGCGCAGACTTGACGACTTCCAGCCTCCCGAACAAGCCGGTTTCCGAAAAGGCTTTAGCACCATAGACCACATACATACCCTTCGGCAAATTGTACAGAAGTCCGAGGAGTACAATTTGCCACTATGTCTGGCGTATGTGGACTATGAGAAAGCCTTTGATTCCGTCGAAATTTGGGCGGTGCTGCAGTCCCTTCAGCGATGCCAAGTTGACTGTCGGTATATCGAAGTGTTGAAGTGCTTGTACAATAGGGCTACGATGGCTATCCGAGTACAGAACCAGAGTACGAAACCTATCCAATTGCAGAGATTGCTAAAGACAGGGTGACGTCATATCCCCGAATCTCTTTACCGCTGCATTGGAAGATGTTTTCAAGCTTCTGGACTGGAAAGGATACGGTATCAACATCAATGGCGAGTACATCACTCAAACTACGACACATTTTCTCGTCAGACATTCCTCAAAACCTTAAAACGAAATTATACAACCAGTGCGTGTTGCCAGTGATGACTTACGGATCTGAGACGTGGCCCTTCACTGCTGGCCGTATGAGGAAGCTCAAGGTCGCTCAGCGAGCTATGCTCTGAGTCTCTCTGCGTGATAAACTTAGAAATGAGGATATCCGCAGTAGAACCAGAGTGATCGACATAGCCCAACGGATTAGTAAGCTGAAGTGGCAGTGGGCAGGCCATATAGCTCGAAGAACCAACAACCGATAGGGAAGAAAGGTTCTTGAGTGGCAGCCTCGTACCGGTAGGCGAAGTTTAGGGTGACCCCCCACGAGTGACGACCTGGTAAGACATGCAGGAAGTCGATGGATGCAGGTGGCTCAGGACCGTGCTTTGTGGCATTCCTTGGGGGAGGCGTATGTTCAGCAGTGGACTTATGAAAGTCTGTAATGATGATGATGATGATGATGAACCAATTAATAAAATCTTAGAAAAATGCCACAACTAAAAACATAGAAAAACTTTAAAAAAATATATTATCTAAACATTAATAAAAAACTTTTAGTAGATCCACGTCTACAGTTCACTGTAACACATAAATGAGCAGGGTCGACCGGTGTGATACTACCCTCTCACAGAAAATCGGCGTGAAGTGTTTAGCTTCTTAGTGGCTGCCATGTTTCGTCTGGTGAGTGGAGCTGTGATGTTGCATTTACTAACGAGTGTCTGGTGGTCTTTCCCCTTTCTTTAAGTTCCTACTCCCATTCCTACGAATCCTGTTCCTATACCTTAGTGAAGGCAACGCACAAGTAACACTCCTGTTGTTTCTTGTGTCTATGGGCAGCGGTGAAATCACTTAGCCATCAGGTGACCCGCTTGCTCTTTTTGCCTCTCTTATAATATACAAAAATTAAAATAAATACCTTTAGATAATATTATATGAAATTGTGCCGCTGACAATTTACATAATGGCTGTAACAAAACAAAACATTTTTTCAGGTACAGTTTGAGAACATGAGACCATTTGTATGACTTTTGAAAACGGGGCAAGATGGAAAATTTTATATGTTTATCTTACCCCGTCAAATATTGGCGGGTCAAGACAGAATGTTACAATAAATCGTAAAATCCAAAAAGTAGCGATATTTAGACATAGCAACATAACTACCAATTAAAAATAATAAGTATGTATACAAATAAAAAACTCGTACCTACCTCGTAAATCAAGTTACACGACACGGGGTAAGATTAAAACACCCGACTTGCTCGCGTAAAATTCACAGCGTAGATATTCCCTTATAACACACAACCGATCCCTCAAAACGACAAGTGCCCACTTAGGTCTAGTACGTAACAAAATGGCGGTCTTATGAATGTTGCCTGCATTGGATAAATTACACAAAATCTGTCTTTACTGATGCCTTTTTGGCTTACCCCGTCTTTCATCTTCCCCCCACTCACCCTACTATTACATTCGTAATTATAATACAAATTACGATGTAGTCGTCATTCGTATCGGTATCGTAATAGCCGTATAGTTTTATCACTATTTAATGTATAAAATAATTAATATTTCAAATAATTCATTTTTAATTTATATTTCACTTTATCAATAATTTTAAATATTATTTACACAAACTTAATATTAAAATATATAAAAACAATATATGGCAACCCCAGAGAGACAAAGAAAGATAGACGAAGCGCTGCGTGCTGCGTATAACTCAAGAGATACCAAAAACCAAGCGAAAACCATGCTCATCTTTTCACAAGAATGCAAACATAATATGCCTAAAATCTTTTCAACCATCAAAAAACAATCACATAGTTTTAGGTGCATATGGAAGTGTTTCCTGCAGTAGACTCTTATGGACTGCTAAAGAAGGAAAGAAAGAAAGAAAAAATGTGTGCACGAGTGCGTTTTATGAATATATGATATATTAAATGAGAGCAAATTAAGAAATTACCCGTCTATATATGTTTTGGTAAGCGAAATGTATGACGGCTTCTTACTATTGACGACCTAGTATTTAAAATTGGTGATTAAGCATGTAATACTTATACATGACCTTAGCGTAAAATTTGAAGCAAAGTAACTAAGTAGGACGGAGTAAGCTTCTTACAAAGCGTTGCCTAGTGGCCTACTGTGCTCGAATTCGCCGTATGAAGAACGATAGATGCTCTGAAGCTAGGCAATTCCTCAAGTGATCAGAGTAACAAAACATTAAAATACCTTCATCAAATTTGACTGTGTCAGTTTCCTCCATATTGTCTTTTTCATCAGTAACAGCTTCCGCAAGCGCATCTTCAGATTTATCTTCTTTTCCAACCATCTCATTATTAGCAGGGATTTTTTGGGTCCATTCCTCGTCTTCAGCTGCAAATAAATACTTTTTTAGTGTAATTGTCAATTATACTTTTGCATTACACGTAATTTTAGGTTTGTAACTTATTTTTAAGTTTCCTTAATTGAACTATAATTGGTTTTGTGGTATCGCGTAAATATTTTTAAATGACTGAAAAATGTTTTTTAACGATATTTCTCAATATATTGTACAGGAAGGTCGAGAAAATTTTGGCATCGCCTGTTATAAAATATATATTTTTGGAAAATTTATCTTTAGAGAAGTTATGTTAACACAACATGATGACAGATGAACAGAACAAAATAACAAAGAGCAATAACATACAGCGAAATAGTAAGAATTATTTATATTACCAGAACAATAGTAATGTATTTTTAACACTTTCCTAAACAGCAGTTTCTATTTAGTTAGTTGCTAAAAAAAATTAATATCAATATATTAGTTTTAATTTTTCGGAATCATTCTTTTTCCATGAATGTTTAATCTAAAGCTATACTTTGACTGTAAGTAATGTCTAGCGAAATTATCAAATTAGATACGATATGTTATTTTATACTCGAAATGCAATATTTAAGTATTTTTAAATACAAAAGGACAAAAAATGTGAACAACATTTTATCACTTTCCATAAAAAGACTGCTTAAGTTAAAAAATCAGTACACACAACTGTTGTATTAAATATATGTCGTAATGTACAGTTACAGTAGTTTGGTTTGCCCATTTCAAGGGATTTCTTTAAGTGTCTCTAACATTACGTTCTACAATAACAGAAAATTGAGAACACACTGAAAACAACCAAAACCCGCATTGTCCACTGTTATGGTAATTTTATTGGTACAATATTTAATATTTTCACATTTAGAAAATGCTTGTATAATAGTGGATCAGGATATTTGTATGTAGTTGTTGTACTTTACTTTTTGTTTAATAGCCTATACACATAAAATAATTAAAAATTAAAAATTTTGTACAACCGACTTCAATATAAATTATTAAGAATAACTCAAAAACTATTGGTCAGACCTTAATCAAATTTATATGTGAAACATGTGTTCACACACTTCACATGTGGTTCACATCTATACATCTATACAAATAAATAAAATTGAAGTGTCTGTTTGTAATGTCAAAATAACAGCTTTTTACTAAATGCATATGACAGTAAATACGGCACTTATAACTAAAATACATTTTATAAAATTTTTGTATGTCTGTTCGTCTGTCTGTCTGTCTGTTTGTTCCGGCTAATGTCCAAACCGGCTGGACCGATTTTCAATGGCAGATAGCTTATGTCATAAGGAGTAACTTTGGCTACTTTTATTTTACAAAAAGAATTAGGGTTCCTCGCAAAAAAATAAAAACCCTAACACGCGAGCGAAGTCGCGGGGAACAGCTAGTATGATATATGTGAACCACATGTGAAGCACCAGCTTTTAAATAAATAAAAAACTGTAGAAATCGGTTCTCCCAGTAAAAAGTTATGAGGTAAAACATAAAGAAAACATACAGTCGAATTGAGTACCGTCTCCTTTTTAAAGTCGTTAGGAAAATAAAGTGTCTCTCTGTAATATCGAGATAACTGGCTTCTTTTAAGCACGAACACCAACAATGTTTAAAATGTTTGTCTGTCTGTCTGTTTGGGCTAATGTTCAAAATGGCTAAACCGATTGCGATGAAACTTCAGAAACAGGGATTAAACTTAGAGTGATCTAGGCTATATTTTTTTTTCTGAAAAGCATTGTTTTTTTTTACCTAATCGAATAATTGTCAAAACATGGAAAATGAATTCTAGTTACAAAAATATGCTCATTTATTGTCATACGGATATCAAGATATACGCCTAGATCACGCACCACCGGTCCCTCTTGATTACAACATTATGAAAATTCTTTGGAAAAAATATGGGATTAGATTTCAGCATAAATGATACGCACTGACTGACACTTACCAACATTAACTGTGATGTTATTAGCGGAATAGTGATGGTATAACATATTTAGATCATATTTAAGTAGGTCATAGTCGTTGATAATGCGCATACGCAGATTTTTTTTCCTCTTCCGCATAAAGAAATTGTTAGGTATTTTTTATATATTGACATATATCGTAACTATAGGCGTTGCAAAATAGAGGACCAAGGCGAGAGCCCTGAGGAACCCCAGGGTGTACGGTAGAAATTTACCTATACTTATTCCCTATACCTATACCTATACCTATACCCTATACCACTACCTATACCAAGACCTATAACTGCCAAAAACCACAGCCTGAGAGCAATTAGTCAGATAAGATTTAATCCATCTCAGTAAGTCCCCATCTATGGGGATGCCGAGAGACTGTAGCTTCTGAAGAAGTATAAAGTGATCTACACAGTCGAAGGGTTTTTCAAAATCGGGGTACATCACGTCAACTTGACCTTCACTTTCCATTTGATTATAAAAATAATGCAAGAGTAGTAGAACGCTTTTTCAGAAAACCATGTTGCATACAAGTCGCGACACGTAAGTCTAGCTCTGAATGAAACGTGGAGGGGACGCACACGAATTGAATTGCACGAATGCGTCTGTAGAGCCAAACAACGCGTGCGAACGATACACACGAGCCAATCATCGCGATTTATGCGCAATAACGGTCACCGCTAGACATTCGTGCCGCTTTTTACACTCGTAATGTGTCTTATTATTGTAGGATACATGTTGTTAAAAATGAGCCTCACAAATATTTTAGCAATTGTACTGAGAGTAGAAATTGGACGGTAACTATGACTTTTTGTTTTAGAAACTTTCTTATATGGGAAAAACACACTCTCTAAGGGAAAGCTTAAAAAGCAACGTAATTGCTAATTTAACATATAATCCAATGTATGTTATAATAGCTATTTATATCTAGCATTTTTATGTTTTTTTTTTAATATCAAAAGTTTTCTAAGACTGAGATGGATATGAAACATTGTTATTGTTTGTTCTCATTAGTATATTATGTATTTAAAATTATAACCTTTCATTTTCGTTCCAGGTGCATAGTTTATAGCGTTGTACGAAACACATTGATTTTTTAATCGCCTGTAGCCGACGATGACACACCGATACCAAGCTGTTTGCTGTTGGGACTTTTAACGTTGAAGACAGGTGCCACCGGTGGTGTTCAATAAAAAGCTATGTTCGAAAGATACTCAGGCAGATTGTTAACCAATTTTTTTAATACTACATGTCATATCACATCTTATAATTTTTTAATTTGCAATTGAGTATAAATGTATAAGATAATAATTTAACCTTAATATTACTAAACAAAAAGTGTAACTAAAAATGTATTGTTACTACTAAATTATACCATCTCATCCTACTAAAACCAATAATGTTGTAATATGACTCATTCGAACTTGCTTGAAGCACTTCCTAGAACCGATTCCCTAGAGGTTATGAAGAAATAAAAATATCTGAGAGTAGTAAAAAACTTTAAACATGCATAGGTTACTTTTCCAAGGATATCTCCATGGATGAGCAAATCTTCGGGGACGCAACAAAACCTTCTACTATTAGAAGTACATACGGATGAATTCACGATCTCATATGTTGCACAAATTTTGATACAAATGCTATATGGACATTTCTAACATAGCTATAGAATGTAAAAATATTATTTCTTGAATGATTTTTAGAAAATTTTTGCTCCATGATTTTTTAATTTATAATGGTCTTCCACTATTTTCTATTTTTATTTTAATCAAAACTTGTCAAAGTATATACTATTGTATTTACGAGTATTTAACGGCTCCGTAGAGTGGCTTATCAATGAGTTGCAGCGCTGAAGGCCGCGGGTACAAATTCCGCACGGAACAAGTATTTGTATGGCCTACAAATATTTGTTCCTGGTTTGGATGTTTGAAATTTTCGTATGTAAACTAACGCAACAATATAAGAGAAATTCCAAGTGTGAAGGTAACATTTTTAAAGAAAACAGAAAACATAAATAATACAAGCGTCAGAACAAACAAAAAATACTCATTACTTGGCCTTATATATTCAACGGAGAGCCTGAAAAATACAAATCAAACTTGTCCCATTACTTGTGAGCTATTCTTATTTCTTTCAAATTTAACTTAGATTTTTAGCCATTGACAGACATACTGACCGCAATGCCTCACGGTCTTTAACTAAACTGGTATTAAACTTTCAGATATAATAAATATTCCATAAGCGTACCACCGCTGGGCGCGGACCCCTTCGCATATTTTCATAATGGGACCGGAAAGAATCTAATGTATGCATACAGACGTATTTCTTTATTGCACGCGACAAATCAGCGCTTAATAAGTTAGTACCGGCACCGTATACTGGCTTCGATTTTTCAACATAGGTACTTAATATACTTTAAAATACACATTAAGCACCGCTACACGACGACTCATAAATATAGTTAATGTATGTACTGAAAATTAAAACGAAATGAAAGCTAATTAGGATAATGCAAGCATAGCTGTGTAGACATGGAAGGCGCGAGTTAGGTGCGCGCCCACCGGGAACTCAAATCACTGGCTTGCTACACGCTGCTGTTATGTTATCGCAATGTGGATATCCAGTATTCCGTTTTAAATTATAACAAAAAGTTTACAGCAGTGATATTACGCCACAAATTTATTTAATCGAATAAAAATATATACTTAAAGCCCTTTTAAAGAAAAAAAATATTAAAAAGACATGTTTTTGTGGTTGGTTGGTTATTTGACATAAATGACTCCATCACCCTATTTTACTCCTTCGATATCGCATGAGGTAACTTAGAGAAATATCTAGAAAAACTTGTGTCCCCCGATAACCACATAATAATACTAATTATAACACACTCACATCAAAGACACAACTCTTTTGCGGCTCATCGTCGTTACATTTTACATTAGTCGTAAACGAGATCGTCATACCTCGGAAGCCAATCTCTCTGCAATCCCCCATAATCGATGCTATATCCACGGCACGAAATGGAGTGTTGCATTATCTACACTTATGCTGCC